CAGCATGTCCCAAAATCTTAAGTTTGACTGACCGGTTGACAAGTTTTGAAACAGCACCAGGCACCGGTGCCAGATTTATTAATAATACTTTATTTTCATTTTACCGTCAATGTTCATGTTGTGCTGACCGGCAGCTCTAGCTAATGAAGTAATGTGATACAGCTGTTAAAGTGACACTTTGATTTAAAAGTAGTTCACTCTCCATGATAAGCACCAAGCCAGCATGCTTTCAGATATCCATTCTTTTCTTCAACTTACTTATTAGTCCAAGGACTGATATCCTCATGGTCAGCATAGATCATATGTTCAGCTTCAAGTGAGGGTTTCCTGAAATCAAAATCAACCATTTACACAAGATAGTATATATCAGGAGGTTGTAGACCCACACAACCCAGTATACATCACGATGTTGTAGACCCACACAGCTATGGACTAGTAATGTTCTAGATTTAAACCTTAATTTGGGTAAATAATCTGACACGTTACAAAATCTTTCTACCACGGCTGTATGGTAAAGTTATCTATTATTTCATATTAAGGGGAATTAGCCAGATACTGATGGGTGATGCAGTGCGTAGTGCTGAAGACAGAGAGGAATGGAGGAGGATGGTTCACATGTCATCTGTGGCGCCCCAACGGTCCAAGGACTAAGGGACATGAGGATGAGGATGGTAATGTTATCTATTATTTCATATTAAGGGGAATTAGCCAGATACTAATGGTAATGTTATCTATTATTTCATATTTAGGGGACTTAGCCAGATACTAATGGTAATGTTAGGAGGGAATAGTAAAAGTCATACGGAGTGCGCTCTTTTGAAGTGATAGCGCCAAAATTATGGAACAGTTTGCCCCAATCTTTGAGGAACATTGAAAATGATAAAAAATCATTTAAGAAACATTTAAAGACTTTTTTAGTTAAATAGATTTCAGAACATCAGAGTGCTGTGAGCATGCTAAAGTAGCATGGATACAAGCACTATATATAAATATTCAATTCAATTCAGAGTAATTTGCCAGGTGCTGATGGTAATATTATCAATTATTTCAAATTAGGAGAAATTTCCCAGATACTGTTAATAACCTAAATCACACAAAGCTATTTTTCTTATCAACCATGTCAGGGTCATTTAGATCTAAAATATTTGAAAAGCATTTAAAAACTTTTAAAAAAAAATAAATCTTTTTAAATATCTTGCAAGCCAATCAGCTCGACCTGACTCACACAATGTTGAAAGTGGTTCCCATGAAGTTGGGCCTGACAGAGCCCAGTGATGATTCTGTGTAGGGGACTTCAGTTGTCAGTTCACCCCAGAAACCATCCTTTATGAATGGAGGGTGTTTACCATAGCAGTGGTCAGCTAAGCCAAACGCAACCTGTGTCAGCAGGTGAGATCAATACAGGTCAATATTAAAGTAAAGGTTTATTATTAATGCATTAAGATGTGACTGGAACAGAAATCTTTTTGCTGCTAAGAAGAAGAATGTTTAATGTTAATTTAATATTTATTGTATTCTTCCAATTTCTAGGACTAGTACAAGTTTTAAATTAGCTTATTTATTACGAACGAGTTAAGTGTTATATGTTGCCTATCTTCTCACATTAAGCGTAATTCACACAGTGGATTTGTTACTTGGAATCTCAACTTTCTGTGACCAATTGCCACTTGCTTAAACTTAACAGGGCCACCAAGTTTCATTTTAATGGGTTTGAAACAAATTTTAAGTTTGATTTTGTTGGAGTGGACAAGATAAGAGAAGATTTACATGAAAAATTCTTTTTAACAAATGGAATTTATTAAAGATTTTTAAAAAAAATTTCCATTTGAATGTTTCCTTTTGTGGGTCGTTGTTGGTAAAATCATATTTAAAAGAAAAAATATGAGTTCATTCATTTAAATAGCCACATGCAGCCGCAAGTGGCTAACCGTTGTGCTGGCACATAAATTTAAAATTGATAAATATAACTAAAATTTCTGCATCAGTTGCCCCAGTTGTGACTACTCAGTGTGAGCACCTGTGAGAGCACCTGTGTGGGATATCTGTGACATGGATTCTCAACATGGATTCACCTTTGAGCCTTGTGGCTGCAACATATCTGCATTGTGAACATATCTTTAGAATTTATTCCTACCACTTAAACTGCGTAACCTTCTTTGGGCTCTAGTTATTTATATATATTTAAAAATTGATGCACTATTTTTTTAATTTTATTTTTTGTAGACTGCAAGCAGAAAACATGTTAATCAGTTCTAAAGCTTGCTTCAATCTCAGCTTTACATTTGTCCAATAGTTAGAACATAAATGTTTTGATAAATTGTCCAGGTTCAACAATCCAAGATGGTCAATGCCAAAGTTATTTTCAACTCACATCAGTGTGTCTGTCCAGCAGCCAATTAATATCATAATCATCATCGTCTTCACCAAAAGGGTTGATCATTTGCTCGGCAACCTACAACAATTAATATGTTGGCTTTTGAACAGTACAAGGTGGTAACCCACAATCAAATTTCAATTGGTAAAAAAAATAATAAACATTCACACAAATTTTTTAAAATAGATTTCAGTTGTGAAAAGCTGTACAAAATAAATAAAGTGTGTTGAAATAAATTAAAAAAAACTAGCCCTGTAATGGTTGTGTGAAGCTTCAGCATATAGTGTACAAAACCCCTTTAGTTTTACTTGCCAGTATTTTATGGTATACACGGATTTGCCAGGTACTCACCTTGAGCCAGCCCATGTAGAATAAGAACTGTAAGATGGTAAAGCCAGGTATGTAGAAATCCCCTTCAAAACCAACATACTTCTGACTAGGGTCGAGGTATTGCTGGCCAACAAGAGCCACTGCGAAATATGAATACACAGCCAACGTTACCACCTGTAACATAGGGCAAAAAAAACATAAATAAGTTGAAGGACTTTCACAATTTTCTCCAAACTCCATACCCCTCAACAAAATACCCTAATAGCTCCCCTAACTATTGCTATCCCCATAATATTTTTTTTTTAAAGTGTAATTTTCGAGAGTTTAAGCTGACAAAAAATTAAATTAAGGTATAAATAAAGTGACAGGGTAAATCTTTTTTTAAAAAAATATATTGTTAGCTCTATTTTTTTTATGTTAAGCAAGAAACAAGTTTCTTTTTGGCTGTACAAAAATTGATTCTTATTTTTTGTTATCGTTTTCCCTTTTATTTTTATGGTATTCGGTAACAAAAGAATGACCACTCAACAAATAATATATTTTTTAAACAGTTGAGTTATTTCCCTTCCCTCACTACTGACAGTGATCCATGTACAATTGATGTTACATAGAAATTTAATGTAAAACAATTTTTTGGGACATCCATTTACAACATACACTAAGTGGGTAGATTTGGGGAGGTCAGCTCAGTAAATTAAAAAAAAAAAATTGTGTTTCGGGAGCTGAGAGGGGTGTTGATTAAAGTTTATGAGCAAATGAACACAAAAGTTGTAGCACAACTACCTGTGTGTAAACCAGTGGCACGGTGATCCAATCATACACAAACATTATAGAGCACTTGTCTCTCAGGTCTGCAAGGTACTAAAGACATAAATACCCATTAGAAAAATTCTGAATCTTGGTGGTAATAAAATGAAATATTACAGGCTGACATAAATCCAAAATTAATGTTAGTGCATAGAGCACAAGTCAAGGAATCCCTGTAAGATATGTTTTTAATGAATGAGCATTAAGTAATTAAATATCATTTATCCTGATCAAAGAGGTATGTGAAAATCAGTTGCTGCCCTATGCACTAAAGACTGCAGAAGGAATTAAAATGTGATTATGTTCAATGTTACCGGTACTTATTATCTTAAGACTCAAAATGGCCTCCAACTTTATTTTAAAGTTCTTTGCAAGCAAAATGTAAAAAAAAAAAACACACAAAAGCAAATGTTTCTCTAAATTTTTAGTCTTCCATGAGCCATTTTTAATAACCTTTATGTAAAACAAAAAGTATGTTTATCCCCACTTATCATGATAAGCTGATGACAGGTGCACTTTAAATAGTGGCTTTTTTTTCTCTAATCATAATTATAACCATCAAGTGTGCATAGTATAGCAGGTAATCTCCCCCCCCCCAAGATCTGCCACTGTATTAACATAATAATATGTTTTAGACATCCACCACTACTATATGTTACATTAACAAATAAATCATAAACAGGATACATGTAGTGATTTAAAGAAATCGAACATTTCAAATATCTTTCATCACTAGCTAAATAAATAGGAAAACTTAACCAATTAAAACCAAATATAATCAGTTACCTAGCATTTTCTCTTTACCTCAATGACCATTCTGAGACCAAAATCTGTCTGGATTCGACCTTCTCTTCTTGCAGTGACCAGAACCTGATTGGCCCACATAAATGGCACCCAGAACTTGAGATATTTGCATTGGACTTTTTCATACATGGCAACCTCTTCTTTAGAAACAAAACCTGCGAATTTTGAACATTTTTAGATAATAACAATTTTGTCTTCATAAAACTCAGGATTTACTATATAAAAATAATTACTTCATTCAGCTTAGCAAAAGTTGCATAAACTATTTTGAAGATTTACATTTATTAAAGTGTGAACAAGGCTCTTGCAATGCAAAATTAATGTAATGGACAGAGTTATGACACATCATGCGAGATTAGAAAATTCATTTACACAGTGATGAGAATATCTGCCTGAGCACACCAAATAAATTTTCATAAGCATCACTTTACAATAATCTACGGCTAGTGAATTTGGACCACCATCATATTGTGTATTCTTTGTTTTAACTCTTGTAAGTCATTTAAAAAGGCAACAATTGTGAACCATGTTATTAAATAATAGGTTGTCAGATGGTTAAAGTTAAACACACCTGCCTGCACAATGTGATCAAGTGTGGGAAATCTCTTCATGACTGACACACTGACATTTCGGCAGATGAGAATCAGGCCAAACATAATATACCTGCATCAATGTATTAATTTGGGCAAAATAATTGGTGATTTTTTAATGCAAAATGTATTAAATGTTAAACTTAATTTTTTTAAATGTATAATTTTGATAAGTTGATTTTGATCAAAATTCTTCAGTTGAATGGCTCAAAAGATAGTATTGTGTTATTATTTTCTTGTTCAACTAATTTCTATAGTAACCATTGCCTACTTGAGTGACAACTACCGTAATGCATAATTGACTTATGTGTAAATTAAACTGAAATTATATATTTGACTATTATTAAGAACACCAGCTAAATAAAACAAGGCTAAAATCATACATTAATATAATTTACATTCATATTTTTTTGTATGTTAATAGAATTAAAAGATGATAAAAAACAGTCCATCTAACATTGCATAAGTAGCCTTCGTAATACATAACTAACCAATGGGTTTGGTTTCTACCTGTTAAATTAAAAAAATATATATAGGCCTATTTGTATTTTGCAACACTTACATGATTGTAAAATGCTATTTACATAAAAAGAAAGTCAGAGTAGATGTCTCATCTATTTTATAATATATACATCTAACTTTTCTTGTCCTTTTTGGCTGGAGCAAACCAAAGCAACATGGTACTCTTGGTACACCCAATTTTAAGTATCTAACCTATTAAAAAATAATACTTGCAATTTAAGAAAACCTAGCATGGTTGCAAGGCAACTTAATTTTGCTTTTTTATTTTTTTTTAAAAAGACAAGATGAAGTATAGATTACCTTGCTACAGTTCTTCTCATCATTCTGGACTTATCATCAAAACCGTGTAGATATGTCGCCATTACAAACAGAGTCCTTTAAAATCACAATTTATAAAGAATGTAAAATATTGAGAGAAAAAAGCCATGAATTATTTTAGCTTCTTAAAGAGAAGACATTTTATAAATACAATGACCTTAATTCATATAGGAGTTTCATTAAAGAGAAGACATTTTATAAATACAATGACCTTAATTCATATAGGAGTTTCATTAAAGAGAAGACATTTTATAAATACAATGACCTTAATTCATATAGGAGTTTCATTAAAGAGAAGACATTTTATAAATACAATGACCTTAATTCATATAGGAGTTTCATTAAAGAGAAGACATTTTATAAATACAATGACCTTAATTCATATAGGAGTTTCATTAAAGAGAAGACATTTTATAAATACAATGACCTTAATTCATATAGGAGTTTCATTAAAGAGAAGACATTTTATAAATACAATGACCTTAATTCATATAGGAGTTTCATTAAGGATTTCTGACTTTTTTTAAATTTCAGTAAAATTATGTTTTTTTAAAAACTATACATATTAATTGTAATGTACTAAAATATTTCTTAATATATGTAAATTGTATCTGTTATTAAATTAATAGTTTAAATAACTTATATAGTCACCTGTCTGGCCAAGGGACATTTATGAACTGCTGCCACCACCTTTCTACTATAAATGCAACGTAGAATCCAAGTATGAATGATAATGGGATTACATTACTGGCTGCTTTAAGCTCAATAACCATTTGTTCAAAGTACCTTTATTAATAAACAAAATAAAACAAAAAATTAAGTCACTTTAAGTCAAGAAGCTCTCAGTCTTAGCCAAACTAAATAAAATATGCAAGCCATATATATTTTATTAAATTTATCTCATTTTAAACCCAATAATTAATTATAATGTATCGTATTTAACAAAATTTATTTAATTCCATTAACTTCATAACCTAATGAAGTCTGCATTTATGGATGAATCTGTATCGATAAATAGTATGGATTTATTAGATAATTAGTTGAACTTTTCAGACAAGACATTCTGCATAATTTGTGAGTAACAGTGAAGTTTGAACATACAATATCAAAGTCAAAATCAGTTTACCTTTTTTGGACCTCTGTCAAGGCCAATCTGTAAATGAGGCTAACGAATGCATACAACACACAGAAGATGATGAGTTCTTTGTACACTAATTTGTACACACTTCCTCTCCATGTCTTTAAAAGCTTCAGAAAGCCACCCAGAGAGGTTGTGGCGACCCGATTTTGGTAGATGATTGTCATGATGACTCTCGTTTGACTCTTGCTTAGTTCAAACCATACACTACTCAAACTGCTTTATTTACATACTGTTTCAAATTCAATACATGACGGGCAATGCTGCTATTCCATTCCAATATAGCTCCTTGATAAATTGACTTTCAAATTTTTCTAAAAATTTTAACACAAGAAATAGAGATTAATTATTGTGAATATTTATTTTATTTGAACCTGAATATTTTTTTAAATCCAAATATTTACATTAAAATATAGTTGAATTTCTGTTAAACTTATTGATTTCTTGCTTATGAACGTGCACATAACATTTCAAATCCTGACCGTAGTTCTTTTTTTCAAGTAAAAGGTGCATAATCTGTTAACCAGCTGTGGAAAATAATTTTAGAGTTTTTAAAGCATTTAATATCAATTTTGTTTGTTCTAATTTTTAGAAAATAGGCCTAAAACTTTATTTTTAAAAAAAACTCAACACATCTTAATTAATTAAATTTAACATGACATAAGTTATTTACAGACCGGCAGAAAGTTCACTTTTTGAAAACACAAGGCAACATTATGACGTTAAGACCTAAAAATTACAAAAATTACGTAATGTTTTTACAGTCAAAAGATTACCTAATGTTTTTACAGACTTATATATAATATATATATATAAATATATATATATATATATATATATATGTATATATATATAATGTGCTATTCATTGATTGACAGTCTCAAGAAAATTACTGCATAACTTGTGAATACATTTGCTAACTTTGCCAACCCCCCTCCCACCCATAGGCAAGCGAAATCTCCAACACCTCCCCATCCGTGCGTATATACTTCATTATTAATAAGTTAATAACTTAAGGATGACCTCTATTCTAACTAAATAATATAAAACTAAAACGAACAAAACAAGATACAACGAAAGAATCTCAGAGCCGTGGGGTGGGCCCTGCAACCCCTCTCGTATATTTTCCATATTTAAGTCCAAAGTTGTCCAACTCAAAGTTGACAATAAGGATAGTTAACAGTACAGTTAGGTACAGGGGGCACAAACCCGAAAAGTCGTAGTCGACGCAGGCAGGGTGCCTCTAAAGTCTAAAGTAAAAGTCACACAGCTTTGCTTGCACTTAGTTCCTAATATTCCCGTCACAATGCTTTAACCCAGTCTCCAGTATAGTAATATCCTATTATTCGGGAGTGATTGCAATCTATCGTCTGCAATATTTCAAATATTTCATTATTCAGCATCTTTTAATTTGGTTAAATCAGTCAAGCGCGATTTATGAAGAGTAAATTAAACTTAATGCAAAAGAGCGTGTCTTAATGCTTAATAAATTTGAAAGACAAACGTGTCGAGATTTTCAAAGTTAATTGAAGTGTGAAGTAAAAGGAGTAAGTAGGGTCTCTCTACCTCCTTAAAATGTCAGTGAACCAAAAGCTTAACTGTAGTCTAAAGTCTAAAGCTTAAACTTCTATTTGACTTAAATGTCCTTTCTTTTACTATTTCATTTTCTCTCTTTCTTTAAATAGTATTGAATATTAATTTTGGAGACTTTTATACTTTTTATAATAATCATAGTCATCATTTAACAAAGAAATATTTTTGGAAATGTAATCATAACCGTGAATAAATATTTTACAAACTTGATAAATACTTACGTTAAGATTAGATAAATGGGAACTACAGAGCTACAGCTAGATTTTTTTTTCTTCACGAAACCAATCCAAAATATACCATACGAAATACTATAGTAACTCCATGGCCTCCATCCTAAAGAAAAAGAACCTAAATTTTAAATGGTTCAGTTGTGTGAAAGCTTGAAGGACTGGAAATTTTTATTCCTTAACCGATCACTAATTGTCCACCGCGTACGTCATTTGTGTAAGGTTAGTGAAGCTAACAGACGCACACATGAAATGGGGGAACGATAAAAGCGTTATGACGCCTGCACCTACCGACTACAGCAGTGAGGTCACTCATGACCCGGGAACAACAAACTTTCTGTTTATGACTTCGAGAAAACCCCTGTTTTTAATCTGTTTGGTGAAAGCCTAGCACTTTACTGATAAACCAATAACAATGTGGATTGTTTCATTTGTAAAAAAGAAGACTTCTGTAGAAGACACTAATCTAATGAAAGTATACAAAGCACTTTCAAAAATGGTTTTTCGTTTTGAACTTGAAAAAAAAAAATGTTATTTGTGTTAACGTCTTATTTTCCCTTTACATATTGTTCAAGTTAAATTGCATTAGTAGAAGAAGTAGAATAGTATTACCACTTTCCCCCGCTCCTCCTGCACAATATTAATGATAATTTAAACTGTTATATTAACACTTTACGTTGGGGGTCGCGGTGGATGTGTGTGTGGTGGGGGTGTAATAATTAACGGGAATGAAATCGAAAATAATCTTTTGTAGTGTTTTTTTTTTCTTTTGATTTGTTTGTTATTTTTTTTTAAAAATTTTAAAAGGAATTATGTCACCTCAGTGAACTCACAAAGTACAATTTGGTGTTAGTATCTGTACTGAATTTTTAATCACTTATCGTATAATTATTGTATTGGACAATCCTAACTTTTCATACACACATTATGTGACGGATGCTAACAAATTATATTATCATTTTATATCACAGTTTAATCATTTTACCCAATTGACGGCAAAGGAAATTCAATAACTGTAAAAACAAAAACTTCGCTCTGATTGGATACTTAATGTAAGATAAATCAACTAGCAGCATCTAACGTAACATAATATACAGGGTGGGCCAATAAAAGTGAGTACATCTCGTAAAATCTAGGGCAACGCTGCATTGACAGAAGCATAAACGTGTGGCGCCGACGCTTGGAAAAAGTCGTTGAGAAGCAAGGATGACACATTGAACACGATTTCTGATTAGCTAAATATTTTGAAAAAAAAAAAAAAATCCATGAAGAATTATAATTAATTAAATTATGTTTTGAAATAAATCAAATCTACGAGATGTTCTCACTTTGATTGGCCCACCCTGTAAATAATTTCAACTTGCCAATAAGGATTTGAAGGATGCGTTGCGTAAATCTTGTTCCTCACGTAGGTCTTCATTCCCCCCCCCCTCTTCAATATACCTAAAGGTCAATGTTCGCGTCAACTTGTGGGACTTTCCGTGCGGATCTCGCACCGGGGTCAAGGCCAGCGAAGTCATCATTCCAATAATGATTTTTTTTTTTTAAAAAGACGTAAAAAAAAAAAAAATGTGCTGGGATTTCCTTTAATGTGTTTTTTCTTATTTTTTTATTTCTGGTTCTTATATTCTTCTCCCTAAAAAAAAGCAACAACAACAACATGTACAGACTGTTAGCATGCTGACATCCACATTGATTTGAATGTGGTGTTAACGAAATGATGTTTATCGGCACTTTTAGAGAAAATGGAGTTCCATAAGGCACGCAGTGCTACACAGTAGTGCTACACAAAGGCAGAACAAGGAACCATTATCATTTTTAAAAAAAATATATATAAAATAATATTTGGGTGAAGTTGAAAAAAACAACGGTTGGCAATAGGAAGAGGGTTGGGGGGGGGGGAGGAGGGTTACAAATAACAACCCAATTTTTAAAAGAACGTCGTCCAACTATTCCTGTTCCGATATGAATTAAGTGATACAACTCCTGATCTACAGCTTCAAGTTTAAAAAGAAAAAAGCATTTCATTATTCATTATTGTAATTTTATAGGCGCAACCCTTTCAGTGAGCACACAGACATCGTGAGTTCACCAGACACCCTTACAGCACTGCGAACCAAACAATGACACGCTCGGTCTCCATTTCAGGAGAATGCGACTCCTGGAAAGGACGGTGTTTTTCTCCATTGCGTGTTGTGGGGGTCCCAATGGGGTTTGGGGGGGGGGGGGGGGTTTAGAGGATATTTCAATTTATTCGAAAAATAATCCTCTTTTTTGTGTTTAAACGCTATTCCCCTCCCCCTCACCCCACACTTTCATAACAAAAGTATGATTTAATTTAAAATGCAATTCAGAGAAATAGCTATTAGTTAGTTATCAGTACATCTTTCATGATGTGAAAATGTAAAAAAAAAAATTTACAAAGCTTGCAGTTTAGTGGCCAGACAGGTGTGACACGTTTTGGATTACATGAATGAAAGCGTTCATAATTAAAACATTGTTTCCCGCCCCCCTCGCCCCCCCTCGCCCCCCCTCCCAAACCTTGTCAGTTTTGGTCTCCCTTCTATTTTTTTATTATCCCCCTTTAATTAAAAATTCCAATTTTTTTAAAAAGTGGGCATGCCATTAAGTTGCTTAGCACAATGGCTTTAAGACTTTAAGTACCCGGACCATGTCATTAATACAAAATACTTTAGGCACTCACTCGTATATCTATCCTTATTTAAAGATTGATATCTCTGCTCCCATCTTTAAACTAGTAAGCGCCCCGTGCCCCCTAGGAATGAGAAATCCGCTTAGAAAGCTCTGCCTTAGCTCATACCAGTGGCGTAGCTAGGGTTGGTGTCACCCGGTGCGCTAAACTCATGGTGTCACCCCCGGCACCCCCTAGCTACGCCACTGTAGCTACCATTATTTTTGGTAAAACCTTAACCCATACGCCTAAAACACAGCAAGCATCCCTTTCACGTAATACGACATGCGTGAGCATGGACGGCGCGGGGCAAGAAATAACGGAAATAAAGATTATACCAAAATACTTACCGAATCATGAAGCCAATTTCTGACTCAGAGCGCCACTTAACGGGGAAAGCTTTTTGCACCAAATAAAAGGTCGCTAGATCGAGGCTCGATGTTGTTGGGTTTTTTTTTTAATGAACATAATACACGTACGTCACCGGCATCAGTGAAACCACACGGCAAAAAGTGGGGGGGGGGGGAGGGGAGTGCTTGGCGTATATGACGTCTAGGCCGGTGTCTAGGTTGGTGGCTGGGCAGAAATGAAGGACGGATTGATAAGGCCCGCAAGAGTTAGGATGAGAACAAATAACGAATTTATACCGGTATTTTAACCCCCCCAAAAAAACGGTTAAGTTAAAAAAAAAATAGATAAAAAAAATCTCGAGTTGTGTTGTTTGGGTGAACTATGTACGAATGAGATGTTTTATATCATGAAAAGAGCCTCGGAGAGCGTCTCCAACACGCGTGTCGCATGTGATCCAGCGCTGTAACGGGGACAGATGGCAAGAACTAAAAGAACGCTTCCATCAAACTTGAGAAATCTATTTTTACATCATTAAGATTTAGAACAAAAATTAAAATTAAGGTTCAAACAGAAATAATATTTTATCTTATAATTAAAAACTTTTTTTTTTCAAGAATAAAAAAAAAATATTTGTCCTACTCGCTCAATTTATTAGATCCCCCAACCCCAATTTTTTTTTTCAAAATTAAAAACAACATTAGACAAAGTTCAGGGGCGTAGCTAGAGTTTATAACGCCCGGGGTTGTCCTTCATTTTTGCCTACCACCCCACTCTCTTTTTGCTTACCATCTCACTCATGAAAACCACAAGACAGTCAGAAAACACGTCAAACATAGACAGTGTATTATTCTATACTATGTGAAACATAGACAGTGTATTATTCTATACTATGTCAAACATAGACAGTGTATTATTCTATACTATGTGAAACATAGACAGTGTATTATTCTATACTATGTGAAACATAGACAGTGTATTATTCTATACTATGTGAAACATAGACAGTGTATTATTCTATACTATGTGAAACATAGACAGTGTATTATTCTATACTATGTGAAACATAGACAGTGTATTATTCTATACTATGTGAAACATAGACAGTGTATTATTCTATACTATGTGAAACATAGACAATGTATTATTCTATACTATGTGAAACATAGACAATGTATTATTCTATACTATGTGAAACATAGACAGTGTATTATTCTATACTATGTCAAACATAGACAGTGTATTATTCTATACTATGTCAAACATAGACAGTGTATTATTCTATACTATGTCAAACATAGACAATGTATTATTCTATACTATGTCAAACATAGACAATGTATTATTCTATACTATGTCAAACATAGACAATGTATTATTCTATACTATGTCAAACATAGACAGTGTATTATTCTATACTATGTGAAACATAGACAGTGTATTATTCTATACTATGTCAAACATAGACAATGTATTATTCTATACTATGTGAAACATAGACAATGTATTATTCTATACTATGTCAAACATAGACAATGTATTATTCTATACTATGTGAAACATAGACAATGTATTATTCTATACTATGTGAAACATAGACAATGTATTATTCTATACTATGTCAAACATAGACAATGTATTATTCTATACTATGTGAAACATAGACAGTGTATTATTCTATACTATGTCAAACATAGACAATGTATTATTCTATACTATGTGAAACATAGACAATGTATTATTCTATACTATGTCAAACATAGACAATGTATTATTCTATACTATGTCAAACATAGACAATGTATTATTCTATACTATGTCAAACATAGACAGTGTATTATTCTATACTATGTCAAACATAGACAGTGTATTATTCTATACTATGTCAAACATAGACAGTGTATTATTCTATACTATGTCAAACATAGACAGTGTATTATTCTATACTATGTCAAACATAGACAGTGTATTATTCTATACTATGTCAAACATAGACAGTGTATTATTCTATACTATGTCAAACATAGACAGTGTATTATTCTATACTATGTCAAACATAGACAATGTGTTACTATATAATACGAAGTGGAATGAAAATAACGCCTC